CTCACGGTCCAGGATGTGAAATCGGCACTTGAATTGCATGGATTCAGAGAGCGCCAGACTGATCCACGATCCCCATGTGTAACTCCACCATCCCCATGTGTAACTCCACCATCCATGTGTAACTCCACCATCCATGTGTAACTCCACCATCCATGTGTAACTCCACCATCCATGTGTAACTCCACCATCCCCATGTGTAACTCCACCATCCATGTGTAACTCCACCATCCATGTGTAACTCCACCATCCATGTGTAACTCCACCATCCCCATGTGTAACTCCACCATCCATGTGTAACTCCACCATCCATGTGTAACTCCACCATCCATGTGTAACTCCACCATCCATGTGTAACTCCACCATCCATGTGTAACTCCACCATCCATGTGTAACTCCACCATCCCCATGTGTAACTCCACCATCCATGTGTAACTCCACCATCCATGTGTAACTCCACCATCCATGTGTAACTCCACCATCCATGTGTAACTCCACCATCCATGTGTAACTCCACCATCCATGTGTAACTCCACCATCCCCATGTGTAACTCCACCATCCATGTGTAACTCCACCATCCATGTGTAACTCCACCATCCATGTGTAACTCCACCATCCCCATGTGTAACTCCACCATCCATGTGTAACTCCACCATCCATGTGTAACTCCACCATCCCATCCCCCCTCTCTCGCCCTTGCCCCCTCTCCTCCCTCCTATCCCGCACATCTGTTTGTGGGGGAAGTTTCCCGTCTGGGCTTATCTTGCTCAGTGGGGGGGGTTTTGAGGCGTCTCAAAAATCGTTTCCCGTCTGGGCTTCTCTTGCTCAGTGGGGGGGGGGGGGAGTGCTGGCGCTGGCTCTGTGCAGAGAGCTGTCCCTGTGACTCCACTCTCCCACCGTCTTCCAACCTTCCCTTCCTTTGCATCTCCCCTTGTACTCGTCTCCGCCCACCAGTTTGTGCGCGAGTTTGCTCGCCTGGGGCTCACGCGCTCCGTGGGGGGCGTGCTGGCGCTGGCGCTGTGCAGAGAGCTGTCCCCCGTGGTGACGGCCATCATCATGGCTGGGCGCGTTGGCAGTTCCTTCGCTGCTGAACTGGGCACCATGCAGGTAGGGCTATGGGGAAACTGTGACCAAGCCAGCATGGAAACTGTGACCACGCCAGCATGGAAACTGTGACCTCGCCAGCATGGAATCTGTGGAGTTATGGGGACATGCCTTCGTCGTCACCACATTAGCTGTCCCCGTGGTGATGCCCATCATCATGGCTGGGCACATTGGCAGTTCGTTCGCTGCTGAGCTCGGTACCATGCAAGCAGGGGTCTGGGGATATGGGATATGGGATATTGAGCATAAATGCTGTCGATTTATGGCCACATACCTTCGTCACCTCGTCACCTCGTCACCTCGTCACCTCGTCACCTCGTCACCTCGTCACCTCGTCACCTCGTCACCATATCACCTGTCCCCCGTGGTTACTGTCATCATCATCATGGTCCGCCACGTTGGGAGCTCCTTCGCTGCTAAACTGGGGAGTGGGCACCATGCAGGTGGTGACTCCTGTGCAAGGATGTGTTTTGTTTTTTAGGCGCCTTAAGAATAGACTCCTGTGCAAGGAAGTGCTCTGTTTTTGAGAAATCTCCAAAAACAGAACACATCGCAGCTGAACTGGGCAGTGGGCACCATGCAGGTGGTGACTCCTGTGCAAAGGCCATGCCTCACGAAGGTGGTGCTGCGCGCCATGCTGACTTGAGTCGAGCCAGAAGTGGTGGTGGCACCATGCAGCAGTGCACCATGCAGCAGCGCACCACGCAGCAGAGCAGCGCACCATTCAGCAGAGCAGCACACCACATAGCAGAGCAGCACACCACGCAGCAGAGCAGCGCACCATGCACCTCACCATGATGCGCACATCATGCAGCACTCCAGCATTGATGCACATCTTATGCCACTTTCATTCAACATTTCCTCATCTACCATATGCCTCAATACCTGGCACGTCCCTCCCACGTCGTCTCTTCACACCCCTTCCCTTCCCTCCCAATCCTCATGCATGCCACACAGGTATCGGAGCCTATGGATACGCTCAGAGTACTCAAAGGCTGCCCGAGTGGATTACCTGGTGCCCACATGAGTAGTGGCCTGTGCGGTGGCGCTAGCGGTGCTGGCGCTGCTGTGCTTCACAGTGGGCATGGCGTCCTCCGTGTTACTGCCTCACGCTCTCCTTCTCCCCTGGAAACCCCCTTTCCCCCCCCTCCCTGCAGGTGTCAGAGAATACGGACACGCTCCGAGTGCTCAAGACTGACCCTGTCGACTACCTCGTAATGCCCCGTGTGGTAGCATGCGCGGTGGCGCTACCCGTGCTCACGCTGCTGTGCTTCACAGTGGGCATGGCGTGTCCTCTCTGCTCCTGCCTCACGCGCTCTGCTTCTCCCCCGGACCTCCCCCCCTCCCTGCAGGTGTCGGAGCAAACGGACACGCTGAGAGTGCTCAAAACCGACCCGGTGGATTACCTGGTGACCCCGCGAGTGGTGGCCTGCGCGGTGGCGCTGCCAGTGCTCACGCTACTGTGCTTCACAGTCGGTATGGCGTCGTCTGTGTTCCTGGCTGACGCCGTCTACAACGTCAGCTCCAACATCATCCTCGACTCCGCTGCTAGAGCCCTGGAGGTATGGGGTTAGGCAGAGGAGCAGTGAGAGGAGGTAGGGGCTGCAGGTGGGCAGGGCATGGCGCCGTCTGTGTTCCTGGCTGATGCAGTCTACAACGTCAGATCAAACATCATCCTAGACTCCACTGCCAGGGGGCTGCAGGTGTGTGCTATGGTGGGCAACTGTAGGTAGGGTAGGTGTTAGATGAAGAGCAAGGACTAGGGGGTGTGACTGGGGGTGGTGTGACTGGGGGGGGGTGTGACTGGGAGGGGGGTGTTGTATTGCCTCGTCTGTGCTCCTGGCTAACGCTGTCTTTGACGTCATCCTAGACTCCGCTGCGAGGGCGCTGCGGGCATGGGATCCGGCAACTGTATGCGAAAGATGCGCGGTGGTGGTGACGGCATGGGGCGTGCTGAGAGCAGGACGTGCTGAGAGCAGGACGTGCTGAGAGCACGATGGTGAAAACGGTGGTGTCAGGAGGCAATGGCATCACAGTGGGCGTGAGTTGAGGGTGGTGGAGGTGTCACCTCCCTCCTGGCGTGAGTTGAGGGTGGTGGAGGTGTCACCTCCCTCCTGGCGTGAGTTGAGGGTGGTGGAGGTGTCACCTCCCTCCTGGCGTGAGTTGAGGGTGGTGGAGGTGTCACCTCCCTCCTGGCGTGAGTTGAGGGTGGTGGAGGTGTCACCTCCCTCCTGGCGTGAGTTGAGGGTGGTGGAGGTGTCACCTCCCTCCTCCCGTCCTTTGGCACACCTTCGTGTTCTCTCTCTCTCTCTCTTTCCTTCCCCCCTTGCAGGCATGGGACGTGCTGAGTATGATGGTGAAGGCGGTGGTCTTCGGGGGCATCATAGCGGACGTGTCCTGTGGGTGGGGCATGACCACACAAGGGGGACAATTCCCTTCCCCCCTCCCTCCCCCATTCCTCCCCAACCCCCCCTTTTTCCCCCCTCCCCCCCCTGCAGGCATGGGACGTGCTGAGCATGATGGTGAAGGCGGTAGTCTTTGGGGGCATCATAGCGGATGTGTCGTGCGGGTGGGGCATGACCACGCAGGGGGGTGCCAAGGGTGTGGGCGAGTCAACGACAGCAGCGGTGGTCATCTCTCTCGTGCTCGTTTTCATTGCTGATTTTGCTCTTTCATGGTGCTTCTTCCAAGGCCCGGGGGATGCGCTCAAGGCTGCTATGGGGTAGAACTGGGGGGGGGCAGGAGGGAAGGCGGAGAGGGGAGGAATGAGGCAGAGAGGGGAGGAGGGAGGCAGAGAAGGGAGGAGGGAGGCAGCAGGCGAGTCTACCACAGCAGCAGTGGTCATCTTTCTCGTGCTCGTCTTCATTGCTAACTTGGCTCTCTCCTGGTGCTTTGTCCGAGGACTGGGGGATGCTCTCAAAGCAGCCATGGGGTGGAAAAGGGGGGTGGTTGAGGCGAGAGGCAGGAAGTGAAGATGGGCGTGGCTTGTGGGTGAGTCAACCACAGCAGGGGCCCGGTGTTGTTCCCATAGCAGCCATGGGGCGAGGCAGCCATGTTGTAGAGAGGAGGGGAGCAGGAGAAGAGATGGGAGATAAAATGCGTTGAAAGAAGCGTTTCGTTCGATATTGGTGCTTGTTGTGAGTGTTACAGAAGCTATGTTTTGATCATGGCACGTGTGGTTACATGAATTTGTAGCACATTGTAACATAATGGTGGCAGCTGTTGTGGCAAGGTAGCATGGCAAGGGCTTTGCTATGCTTGTGAAGTCTATGCATTTCATACCCATGTTTTGTTTAAAACTGCATCGAAGGCAGCAGCGAGTTACTTACCAGCAGGGTTTGGCGAGGGCGCGCACAACCAATCAGAAATGTGCCTTCCGAGCTTGTCGAAGCGGATTCGCATTTATCCGTGCATTTCGCGAACCTGGAACATGTTTCGGGTGTGTGCTCGAATGTTTAGGGCTTGGCCTTCGGGACTCGTTGAGCGGGCAGCGTAAATGGACGGGACGGGATAGATTCAAATGCCCCGCTCCCGTACCCGTAAACGAACCTGTTTTCCAGGTTCGCAGAGAGAAACCCGAGCCACAGGCTCGAGGTTTCTATGGTTTGGTAGGGGATGTAAGAAAGTTATAAGGTTTTCAATGCGGAAGGTTCAGATTCGCTGTCCGTGAACCTGGAAAACAGGCTCGTGTACCTCCGCACCGCCATACCGGAATCCGCTTCGCGCCTCCGCTGCGACCCGCTGTTCCCGAATCCCCCGACCCCAGGCTGCCCGTGCGTGCTCCTCCGCCTTTGCTGGAATGTTGCTCATTGAGATCGGGGGTGGGGGCGGCGCGCGTCTTGGGAGCTCTCTCTTTCTCTCTTAGCATCCTGCCTGTTTCTAGAGACGTATTTTAGGCAGAGGATCTCACTTTATTCAGACATCGCTCGGTTCTCTTGCTCTGCGTCGTTCATTGTATCTCTAAGGCTGCTAGTTCCAGTACATACTAGCGCTTCTCAGCTAGTGTTTACGTCAGTCCGCTCTTAGCTTCCACGCTTCGGGCCTTCTAGCTCGCCGATAACCAGTGCTCGTTAGTTACTCCGACGCTGAAAATAGGTGTCTCGCAGTCTTCCCTCGACCGTGTGTGCGCCGCGTCTCTCGGCGGCAGAACGAACCTTGTCGTCGATTCGCGATTCACTGAGGCGCTCGCCGCGTTCGCCGCTTCGGAAACGCACTTTCATCGCGATTCCTGGGGCAGCTCGAGGCAAATCGACGGCCGGTCTTTCTTGGTACGCTCATCTCCCTGCAAGGGAATTCCCCATCGCCACTTGCCGCTTGACGACGCAAGCTCTTATTTCGGCGTTCATTCGCTCACTCGCGCTCGTCGTTCCCGGGTGAACATTTTCCTTTCCTTTCACTCGTCTTCTCGTCTTCTCGTCTTCTCGTCTTCTCGTCTTCTCGTCTTCTCGTCTTCTCGTCTTCTCGTCTTCTCGTCTTCTCGTCTTCTCGTCTTCTCGTCTTCTCGTCTTCTCGTCTTCTCGTCTTCTCGTCTTCTCGTCTTCTCGTCTTCTCGTCTTCTCGTTTTCTCGTCTTCTCGTCTTCTCGTCTTCTCGTCTTATCGTCTTCTCGTCTCTCGTGCCAACAGTGCGAGCAGCTGGATGCGACCGACCACGTGCGCCGCTCCTCTGCCGCCGCCGCGGTTTCCGCCGCTGCCGGCGCGACTAGCACCGCGAGCGAGCGCAGGGACAGCGCGATCCGCGCTCTCGCGGAGTCGATCCTCGTCGCCTGCCCGGCGCGACACTCGTTCGCCTTCTCCTCCTCCTCCGGGTCGGACGGCGCCGCCGACGCCGCTGGTGCTGCGTTTGGGAGCATCCATGGCGGCGCGTGTCGCTCGTCCATGTCGTCCTTCGCCTTCTCCACGCGCGGGGGACGCGACGGGGGCTCCTCCTCTTTCTGGGGGGGACGGGGCTCCTCCTCTTTCTGGGGGGGACGGGGCTCCGCCTCCTCCTCCTCCTCGGGCGGAAGAGGTTCCGCCTCTTCCGCGTGGCCCCGCCGCTCCTCTGCGTCGTCGTTCGCCTTCTCCAATCTCGCCGCTTCTTCCCCGCGTCCCTCGGACGGCCCTCTGTTCACTATCGCGGAAGCTCTTACCGAATCACTGCTGGCCGTCCAAGACCCCTTCCCTCCGTCGGACGGTCAGTCTTCTGACGGTGTGGCTGCTGGCAGTCGTGGAGAAGCGGATGGCGGCGTTGCGGCGGCGGAAGAACAGGCGACGGACGGCAATTTGCCGCCCGATCTGAGCGGGTTGAGCAACGGGGAGTTGCTAATGGTGGCGGCGAGCCGCATCGCGCTGCTGACGGCGTCGCTGGGCGAGTCGCGGGCGATCAACGAGGAGCTGATGAGGGCGAGGGAGGCGGCGCTCTCGCTGCTCATGGATACGCAGCGGAAACTGACGGAGGCCACGACGCGCGCCGTGCTGTCGATGCCACGTGTCGACAGCTCGTGCGATCTGGCTGCGCTTGGCCGGGTTCGTGGCGGCGGGAGCGCGCAGCCACCGCCGTCGTCGGCCGTTTCCACGTCGGCGTCGTCGTCAGCGGCAGCAGCGTCAGCGGCATCGCCGACGGGGCAGAAGGCGAAGATTTACCTGGACGATGACGATGACGATGACGGCGACTACGACGAATCGGACGACGAATGCGACGTGCCTCGCAGGCCCGTCGCACCAGTCGCCAGGAGCCCGCATGCGGCTCCGTCGCCCCCCGCCCCGAGCCCAGCCCTTGCGCCATTGGCGGAAGCTCGGTCAGCGGAGAGCGAGGAGGCGGAGTATGCGCGGTTCCTCGAGCGGAAGGTCGCGGAGCTGCAGGGGGCGCTGTCGCAGGCGGAAGGCGCGCTGGAGTCCGCGCGTGCGAAGCGCGAGGCCTGGGCGGAAGGCCAGGAGCGCGCGGTTGCCGCCGCCGTCGCGGACGGCGAGGCTTCCGCCAAGCGCGCGCGGGCACGGGAGGTGGAGCTGATGGTGGCACTGCGGAGGGTGGAGGGGCAGCTTGTAACGGAGCGCAGACGTCACGTGGCAGAGGTCGATTCGCTGAAGGAAGCACTGGCCGGGGCGCAACGGGAGAAGGAGGGGTTATTAACGAGCCTGGAGGAAATGGGTCGGGCGTTGGAGCAGCAGCGGGAGGAGCGGGACGCGATCGTGGGGAGGCTGGCAGCGGAGAAGGCGGATATGGTGGGCGAGCTGATGGACGTGATTGTAGAGGCCGTGACTGACGCGGGGGGTGTGGGGGTTCTAGGGGTGTGGGGGGTGTGGGGTGTGCATCTGGGCTGCTGGGTGCTGCTGCTCTGTTGGAACCGGTTCTGGCTGATGCGGCATATGTGAGCGTGGCTTCTGCTGACGTGGCAGTGGCTGGTGACGTGGCAGTGGTCAGTGACTTGGCGGATGGGGGAACCACAGCAGCTGAGGTGGCACTGGAGGGAGGCAGTTACGGGGGTTGGGAGGAAGTTCAGCCAGAGGCTGCTGCTGAGGGGGGTGAAACCCTCATTGCAACCTCTGAAGCTGACACCACTGTCACCCTTGCTACAGCTGCTACAGCTGTTACACTTGCTACAGCTGCTACAGCTGTTACACTTGCTACAGCTGCTACAGCTGTTACACTTGCTACAGCTGCTACCGCTGTTACACTTGCTACAGCTGCTACCGCTGTTACACTTGCTACAGCTGCTACCGCTGTTACACTTGCTACAGCTGCTACCGCTGTTACACTTGCTACAGCTGCTACCGCTGTTACACTTGCTACAGCTGCTACCGCTGTTACACTTGCTACAGCTGCTACCGCTGTTACACTTGCTACAGCTGCTACCGCTGTTACACTTGCTACAGATGCTACCGCTGTTACAGCTGCTGCAGCTGGGGATAGGATTAGCAGCAGAAGGCGCTACAGCACAACTGCTGGAGACGGCAGGGGCAGGGGCAGGAGCAGGGGCAGGGGCAAGGGGGATGACAGAATCAGTGGCACCAGGAGCGGGCGGGGAAGTGAGGGAGCACGGGGAAAAGGAGTGGATTCAGAAGGACATATTTCCAAGGGCAAGAGCCGGGTGCTGAGGGATAGGGACCTGCCCGCTCGGCGACACACTATGGTCCCCTGCAGGCTCCCCCGCTCCTCCCTTCCCTTGCACCTCCACTCCTTCCACTGCCGCCCCTCGCTCCCATCCCTGTTACCCGTTGGCCGAGAGCCAGGGGAGGGCCGAAGGGGTGAGGAAAACGTGGAGTGGAGGGAGGGGGCGAGAGTGAGGCAGGGTGAAGGGGAGGGAGGGGGCTGCAAGGGCTGGAGAGAACGGAGGGGCGAGGCCCAAGGGAGGGCGCTGGACAGGGGGGAGGGGAGGGGTTTGAATGGCAGGCGTTCCGAGCTCTTATCGATGATGGTGCTGTGGCGGGTGGTGCTGTGGCGGGTGGTGCTGTGGCGGGTGGTGCTGTGGCGGGTGGTGCTATGGAGGGTGGTGCTATGGAGGGTGGTGCTATGGAGGGTGGTGCTATGGAGGGTGATAATGGCGAGGCTGGTGAGGGGGCGGAGAGGAGTGACAGGACGGACCCTGGAGCAGTGATTGGTGGTGACTCTATTGAAGGTGATACTATTGAGAGTGATGTGATGGGGCGACGAGGCAGGGTGGTGTCTGGGAGGAGGCGGTGGTGGGACAGAGGGGTGATGGAGCGGGTGAGGGCGTGGGAGTGGCGGGGGGGGAGGGAGAGAGGAGCAGGAAGGGAGGGGAGAAGTTCAGAAGCGGGAGCAGGGGAGCAGAGGCAGGTGGATCAGAGAGAGGGTGGGGACATGAGGGTAGGTGAACATGGGGGGCGTGTGGCTGTGAGTGAGGCTGTGAGTGGGGCTGTGAGTGAGGCTGTGAGTGAGGCTGTGAGTGAGGCTGTTGGGGGGGGAGGCTACAGAAGGAATGCGGATGTGAGGAGTGAGCATCTGTGGGATGAGAGTTGGAGTGAGCATGCGCTTGGGGGGGTGGTGGAGGGGGGAGAAGAGAGTGACGAGCTGGGGGCGATGGGGATGCTTGACGGCGATAAGGAGAATGTAGAGCCGGCCATGTAGGTGTAGTAGGGTAGGGTTGTTCATCCAGGTCCTGACATTGGTCAATGATCATGAACATTTCTGAAGTATTTTTTCCTTACTGTTAAGCTGCCTATGACAACCATGCTGCATGAGTGGATAGGAGATGGTGCAAGAAAACATGCAACTACTTGGCAGCACTGCTTGCACCAGTGCTGCTGGTAACGGCTTAATGTGGGGCTGCTTGTTCCACACTGGCCAGTAAGGAGCAGAAAGAGCACAAGGGCCAGTAGTCTACGGGTCTGAGTATAGTGCACGTCGTGCTGAAAGAGACATTTATTTACACATTGCACCACACATGCAAACAAAAGGGGAAAACCAAGAGAAATTATAAATTCCACTCTATACCCCATCTACCAGCCACTATACAGCGGAACACAACACAACATTAACAAGCCCGCCAACCGAACCAATCCAGACTATACACCTGATGCAGCAGCATTCCTGCCTCCTGCCACCGCCTCACTTCCATTGAAGCCCGCGTCCCTGCCCTAGACGTGGCACGTCCAGTAGGCATCAAAACGTGTTGGTGTTCACACTGACGGTCATATTCACAGTCGCCGCACCAATCGTGATCGACGCGATGAAACCTGAAGGGTTGCTGACGAGGCCCGAGTCGATGAGGTCCTTGACTGTGCCAACAGGCTCGTACGAGGCTGTGAGCGGCGCCGTCTCATAAATGAGGCACGAATAGGAGTTGTAAGTTACACTGGGGTACACCAGAGTGCTGGTTACATTCCAGGTGGTGCAGGGGAAGGTCGCGATGAGGGCGTTGGTGGCCTTGTTGTAGTATTTGGGGGATGAGAGGCTCAAGGTGCTGGGGACCATACTCACGAGAAACCGATACATCGCACTCTGGGTGCCCTTAGTGCTGCAACGGGGGACGGAGGGGGAGGGGGAGGGGGAGGGGGGGGGGGGAGGGGGAGGGAAGGGGGAGGAGGGGGGGAGGGGGAGGGGGAGAGGGAGTATAAAAAACTTGAGAAAGCCATGGGGTAACTGGCCTTGTATGCACTCGTTTTAGCAGGCATGAAGATGGCGTTGGAGTCGACTCAAAAGTGTACTTGAGGAACCAAGTCCCCGTGGGAGGACTTACACGTTGAATGTGAGGGTGAAACTGGATTTGTATGCACTCGTTTTGGTAGACACCGAGGTGACATGATCTGCGTCGCACGGTCGTGCGGACGGGAAACACAGGGAGACGATAAGGCGATAGAACAGAGTAGAAATGATCTGCGTCGTGCGGTCGTGAGTACGCGTTAACGTCTCATGGTGGGAATAGAATACGCAGCAGCAGGGGTGAGAGGCAATTACCAAAGCAGGGGCAACGACTCGAGAAGTGGAGCCGCGGTGCGGAGAAAGGTCCAACGAAAGGAAGTGTGTGCGGGTGTTCTAAGTTGGTAGGGGCATGCAGTCCAAGTAGAGTATTGCCGGAGTGTGCTTTTTGGGGGTTCGAATGACAGCGTAGGTGGCGCGTTACTAGATGCAGCCAGTGGAGTTGCGCGTACATGCAGTGTTGCGTGTACATGCAGTGTTGCGCGTACATGCAGTGTTGCGCGTACATGCAGTGTTGCGCGTATATGCAGTGTTGCGCGTACATGCAGTGTTGCGCGTACATGCAGTGTTGGTGGTGAGGAGCAGGCAACGGCCGGCGGACGCGACGGAGACGACAGCGAGAAGAGCTGCATGGGAGAGAGCGACGGGGGGAAACAGTATTAAGAAATATTTGATCTAATCCTCATGGGAGGGAGTTGGCGGAAGGTTGCTGAAGACTACCAGTCGGTCAGATTCTAAAATCTTGTGGCTTGGCCAAGTCACGGTGCCATGTGACAAGGCGAATAAGGGTTGCACCTACCACAAGGAGGACTTGTTTTCGATTGTTTGAATGGCGGACACGAGGCTCTCACCAGCGAGGGCGAGTGCGAGACGCAGGAGAACAGAAGCGCGCGGCAGCGACGTGAGAGCCATGATGGAGAGGGTGTGAGGGTGAGCGCCGACGGGCGTGAGAGGTGACGGGAGACGGCGAGTGGCGTGAGAGGTGACGGGAGACGGCGAGTGGCGTGAGAGGTGACGGGAGACGGCGAGTGGCGTGAGAGGTGACGGGAGACGGCGAGTGGCGTGAGAGATGCTGCTGGTACTAGGCCGGGCGAGGCACGAGGGGAAGCTTGTGACCGAGAGGGATGGAGCGATCAGGGTGGATGCACCTGAGTCGAGTAGACTCAACTCGGAGATGAAATGAATGAGATGAATGGTCCACTAGTAAACGCAGCACGGACGAGCGTCCTTTGCATTAGCAAACGCATGCGGCGCGGTGGATAGGCTACGACAAAGACTGCCAAGGTACCCATGCGCATAGGAAAAGAATGCCGATTTCGGTGCGGCGCCATCCCATACGACCGGAATGCGTGATGTTTGCTAGTATCGCGTCGCGATCTCAGGTGCCTCCTGAGGTCGGTCGATCTCAGGCGATCTCCTGGCAGAGCGCTTGCCGGATCTGCCGGTCCTCGTCAGGAACGCGCAAGGAAGGCCGTGACGCAGGTGACGCAGCATGCGGTGTGGTTGGCATCGCGTTCGCTAAGGGGCTTTCCTGTGACTCTTGTAAAATGGAGCTCTACTCCCCGCCTGAAGTTCAGGTGCCGAGCATCGCGAGTGGCGTTCGGGATAGCGTGTTGTTTCGATATTCGATCGGCTGCTATCGCGCTGCGGCAGCAGGCACAGTTCTGGGGGTTTCCCAGGCTTCAGCTCTACAGTCGACTATTATTTGCATCTGCCGTCAGCTCACACGGCGTGTTCGTATTTGCTAGCTCCCAAGGCACCTGATCCCCGTCGCACGAAACATCCCTCCCCGAGTTTACCTACCCTGTGTGCAACCCACGTAGTATATTTCCCTCTCAGCATTCATAACTACTACAGTTTGGGCATTTCAATAATAACTCAACCTGATTGTCACTTCTTGTATACATGTGGGTTTGTTACTCCCCTCGGACCCGCACCACGCCGTTTGCTGCAAGCATCAGTATGCCCCGTCCAGGGTCCATGATGCTGTGAAGTTCGTGGTGGCCAAGATCGCGAAGTGGGCTGGTGGGGTGGTGATGATGGAGGATGACACGCTTCTGACGGGGAAACGGATGGACGTGGCTATCCGTCGACCAATGGAGGGGGAGGCGCATGCGCTCGAAGTGAGCGTAGTGGACCCTCTCAGAGTTGGAACGAATGACTAGAATGAGAGTATACAGGGGTATATAGCTAGTGGGTTGTACTTGTCACGAGAGCTAGGTAGGTAGGAAAACCATGAAAATGGCGAGAGGGTTTAGCTAGGAGAAAGTTGACGAGAGAAAAGAGATCGAGAATAGAAGAGAGAGGGATACAAGGAGGGGTGTTGTACCCTCTATAGTAAGTTTCAGTAATGCCTACCAAGCCTCGATTATATAACATGTATAATTTAACACACCCCCTAGGCTTGGTAGTAGAAGAACCCACACACACCCACACCCCCTAACCTAGCACCCCCAATTCCCAGCAGCAGCCATGACTACTCCGGCATGGCCAACCCCACAGCTCGGGAGATGGCGACGATGGCAGCGGCGGCAATGACGACAGCGGCGGCGGCGACGGCGTGCGGCGGCAACAGGCCATCGGCGAAAGCGGCGGCGGCGGTGGCTTCGACGACAGCGGCGCCTGCCCTCTCGACGGCGTGGCCAAGTTCCGCGACGATGGGGAAGACCCTCACGAGTCAAGCGTCGGCTGTGGCGAGGAAGGAGGGGACGCAGGGGAAAAAGGGGGGAGGGGGGGGAGGGGGGGGAGGGCGTGGTCCAGCTGTCAAATGTAACTTAGGTTGTTACTGTAGACTATACTGGATTGTGCCTTAGAGGATACAACACCCTAGTCTATATATCCTTGTACACACACATTCTAGTACAATCATTTTTCTTTCTGTTATGGTATCATAGTAGGTTAGATCCCCCCTAGCCCGCTCACGCTTCCGCCCCTACGTTCCTAGCCGGCCCCCTGGCCGTCGCGCTCGTCCCTAGCCGGCCCCCTGGCCGTCGCGCCCGTCTCTAGTTGGCTCCCTGGCCGTCGCGCCCGCTCCTAGCCGGCCCCCTGACCGTCGCGATCGCTCATAGTGGGCCCCCTGACCGTCGCGCCCATCCCTAGCCGACCTCTGACCGTTCGTGCCCGCCCCTAGCTGGCCCCCTGGCTGTCGCGCTCGCCCTTTGGCGCCCCCCTAGCCGTCGCGCCCGTCTCTAGCTGGCCCCCTGGTCGTCGCACCCGCTCCTAGCCGGCCCCCTGGCCGTCGCGATCGCTCCTAGCTGGCCCCTGACCGTCGCGCTCGCCCCTAGCCGGCCCCCTGGCCGTCGCGATCGCTCCTAGCCGGCCCCCCTGACCGTCACGCTCGCCCCTAGCCGCCCCCCTGGCCGTTCGCGCTCGTCCCTAGCCGGCCCCCTGGCCGTTGAGCCCCTCCTAGCCGGCGCCCTGGCCGTTTCGCGCCCGCTCCTAGCAGGCCCCCTGGCCGTTTGAGACCGCCCCTAGCCGTCGCGGCTGCTTCTAGCCGCCGTCGCGACCGCTTCCTGCCGTCCCTCGGCCGCTCCTAGTCGTCCCGGCCGCCCCTCGCCGTCGTGGCCCCCCCTAGCCGCCGCCGCTGCCGTCTCCAGCCGCCTCACGGTCGCTCCTGCCGTCGCGGCCGCCCCTCGCCGCCGTCGCGGCTGTCCTTGGCCGCCGTCGCGGCTGTCCCTGGCCGCCGTCGTGGCTGCCCCTGGCTGTCGTCGCGGCTGTCCCTGGCCGCCGTCGCGGCCGTGTCTACTTGCCGCCCGCCGGCCGGCCCCTGCATTTGCGCCGTCGCCGGCCCGCCGCTGCCTCGGGTTCGGCCCGTTCTTCTCGATCAGCACCGCCCTCCGAACCCCCCCCGGTACCGTACTGCATCGCTTTGCACTGCACTGCACCGCTTTGTATGGCACTATACCGCATTGCACCGCACTGTACCGCACTGCATCGCACTGTACCGCACTGCACCGTATTGCACCACACTGTACCGCACTGTACCGCACTGCACCGCTTTGGACCGCATTGCACTGCTTTGTACCATACTGCACCGCACTATACCGCACTGTACCGCACTGCACAGCACTGCACCGTACTGTCCTACTCTACACTGCCCTCTATTGTCACTCATGGCGGCGGTGCTTTGCTTTGACGCTGAGGGCCAGCCGATTGAGTTTGATGCGTGGCTTGCTGACCTCCGTCGCCATCTCACTGGTCAGCGGCAGGATGGCCACTCGCTGTCTGTCCATCTTGATGGTACCCTCCCCTGCCCTGACCCCCCCGCTGCCCTGTCTCCTGACCCCTCGTCCGCTGAGCGTGAGTCCGCTGCAGCCGCTGCCCTTGCTCGCTCTGTCTGGCTGTCCCATGATGCTGTTGCACAGCTTGCTATTAGCAATGCCCTCCCCCTGTCCGAGCGACCTCGCTTCAGGTCTATCACCACTGCCCAGGCTTTCCTAGATGCTGTTGTCCAGCGCTATTCCACCCCGCCTGCTGCCTCAGTCGGTCGGCTGATCCTCCCCATGCTCTTTCCTGACCTTGCGTCGTTCCCCACTGTCGCCGACCTGGCCGCTCACCTGCGCACCATAGACGAGACCTGGCGTGCTGCCTGCACCCCCACACAGCTTCTAGCCCACCAGCCGCCCCTCACCTCTACTCTCTACCTGCTAGCCACTCGCCTCCCTGACCGTCTTGCCACTGCTCGTGACCGCTTTCTTAGCGGTCACCCAGCAGACCTTACCCTGACTGACTTTGTTGACACCCTGTCCGCTATAGAGGCCGCCACCGCTCTATCGCTCAAACCAGCGGTACTGTGCCGGTCCCTATCTTTTAGGGTTGTGCCCCCGCTCAGTGCACTTTCTCCGACGGTTCTGCTGCTGTGGCTGAGATTGCCGCTGCCGCACAGGATTGTACAGGGAAGGGTCGCCGCCCCAAGGCTGGACGTGGCGACGGGGGTGGGGGTGCGGGTGTAGGTGGTTCTGGAGTTGGGTCACCTAGTGGTGGTGCTGACGCGGGGACCCTGACAGGTGCAGCCGAGCAGCCATCTCAGCAGTCGCCGGTGTTGCCGCCGGACCCGCGCCAGCCGCAGCAGTCACAGCCGTCGCCGCAGCCGCAGCAGTCGCAGCAGCAGCAGAAGCGGACGAGTCGTCTTCCGCCTGGGTGGCCCGACGCTGGTGGCAGCGCTGGACGTGGTGGTGGTGCGCGTGGTGGGCTGCCGAGTGGTGGTTCGGCTGCCGCGCGCTGTCAGTACCTGCTTCAGACCGGTCCTCGCCGTGGCTTCGTTTGCGGTAAGATCGGTCATACCTCCGTCCGCTGTTTCCGTCGCCTGGACGACCTGTTTCGTCAGCGATTCGGCCCGTCGCCCGAGCTCCCAGACTGGCACAGCTTGCTTAGTCGTAGGGTTCAGATTTTTGATCTGGACATGGATGAGATTGTTGCTGCTCTACATGTGATGTATGCTGATGACTCTAGTGTGCTTCCGTCTTATTACCCCTTGTTGCCTAGTGTAGGTGTGCCTTGCTGAGACTCCCCTGCTGCGTCAGGCGTAGGATCCCCTGCTTTGTTTAGCCTTGGTGCTACTGTCGTTAATTCGCCTCTGGCCGCCACTGCCGCGCAATCCTTCACCCTCGACTCTGGCGCTTCCCGGTGCTTCTTCCGCGACTCCACCTCATTGACACCGCTTCCTGTCCCTGCGTTCCACGTCTGGGGCTATCTTGCTCACGTTCGTGCCTCTGGCACGGACAAGCTCACTGCCCGCACCCTTCCCTGTGTCTTCCTCGGCTTCCCCCTTGACGCGTCTGACTGGCACTTCTACCACCCGCCGTCTCACCGGTTCTTTCACTCCCGTGACGTCACCTTTGACGAATCCGTCTCCTTCTTCCGCCGCTTCCCCCACCGAGGTCCCCCGGTTAACCCCCCCTTGTTCCTGGTCACCCCTTCCCCGGTCGTCGCCGCCCCTCCTCCTCCCCCTCCCCGTCCTGCTCCCTCTGGTGTGTCCCACGTCACCCCACTTACGTCGGTTGTACCGGTTGAGGAGACTACTGACTCTGGTAGTCCTGCGGCGCAGTCCTCGCCACCTGCCCCTTCTCAGGTGTCCTCTCCTCCGCCGCCTCCGCAGCCGCAGTCGCCACCGCTGTCGTAGCCGTCATCACTGCCGCCGCCGTCGACGCAGCCGTCGTTGCGACCGCCGCCGCCGCAGCCGTCGCCGCAGCAGTTGGTTGCCTCTGGGGGTGCTGGAGTTGGGGTGGGTACTAGTTGTCACAGGATCAAATGTGTCGAGGAAAGGTTGCACTATCGATCAGTACAAGGCGCTTTTATACTTCCAAAGTACATCAGGTAACCAGGTTTATCTTATCCTAAGGGAATAGACCCTTCTAGAAGATAGAATCACCCTGCGTATAGCCACGCGATGCTATTGGCTTTAAGGGATTACGGCAGGATTACGCAAGATAGCGTACCAGTACATCCCAAGCTAGTCGGTGATATAATTATAATAGCAGGATAACCCAAAGGTTAATGGAAAATGGAGAATAAGAAACCAAATGAGATGAGATAAAAAGAGAAATGAAAGAGGAAGGAAATAGAAAAAGGAACAAGTGGGTGTAACGAGGTCGTGCTCTCACACTAGTCCTGGGACTCCTGTCGTGGCTTGTCCTGGCGGGCCTGGGGGTGGTACCGATGTTCGAGGGGTTCTGAGCTCTGGGGGTGTTCCTTCTGGGGTGCTGGTGTGGA